TGTAGTGTATGAATGTAATGGAATATTATTGTGCTATAAGAAATTATGAGCAAATGGACTTCCAAAAAACCTGGAAAGATTTATATGGATTGATTTTGATCGAAGTGAGCAGAACCAGGAGAACATTGTATGTAGTAACAGCCACATTGTGTGATGACTAACTTTGATGGACTTAGCTCTTCTCAGCAATGCAAGGATCTAAGACATCTCCAAAGGTCTCATGATGGAAAATGCTATCCACATCCAAAGAAAGAACTGTGGAGTTGGAATGAGATCGAAGCATACTATTTGCTTTTTTTTCTCTTCTATTTTGTTTTGTTTCTTCTTTCTTGTGGTTCCTCCCATTGGTTCTAATTCTTCTTTACAACATGACTAAAGTGAAAATATGTTTAATAGGAAGGTATATGTAGGGCCTATATCAGATTGCATGCCATTTGAGGGAGGGAGGAGGAGAAAATTTAAAACTTGAAAGTTTATGAAAGTGAATGTTGACAACTAAAAATAAATTATTTAAAAAGGAGAAAATAAAGTTATTAAAGACATTATTAAAAAAAGAAAAGAAAAATGTTAAAAAGCACAGACCGAAGCACAGAGTTCTGAGGCATTTGAACAGAGACCTCTCTCAGCCTCAGCTTTCCCATCTGTAAAATGGGGATCATGGTGAAAGCAGCTACCTTACAAAGTTATTAAGAGGACCGAATGAGATAACAGGTAATGTAATTTGCAAACTGTAAAGTAATGTATAGAGACTAGCTATTAGAGGATGGTGAAGTTCTTTGTCAGATACAGTGGCAGTATAAGGTACAGAAAGAGTTTCCCAGAATGCATCACAGCTTCTATTTCACTTTGACAAATCCAGAGCAAGGAATCCTTTCTGATCTATCAGTTATTAATAGTTCAACATCCATTTATGAGGAGGTCTCTGTTGGAATTGCCTGGGGCTCTATTCTTGGGTCTGTGTTTTTTGACATTTTCATCAATGGCTTGGATAAAGGTATAGATGGCATTTGTGTCAGTCATCATTATATACTCATAAAATGGGAATGGAGATGGTGGAACCTACAGGACTTTCAGCCCCAAAGCCTTATGTGTGATGTAGGATGGAGAAGTAGAAGACAAGTTTCCAGGCACAGGTCCACTACAATGGACATTCATGGTAGCACTACAATGCTCTCAGCTGGGTCCCTTTAGTGAATCAGAAACGGATCCCAGAGCCTCATGGAGCTCTCAGCTCCTGGGGTTCACATGTCAGCACTGGGAATAAGGCCTCCCAGCCTGAGCATGAGGTGCACCTCTTCAGATATGGAGGGTGCTCCCCAGGATGTGGGTGTTGGCAAGGCAGAGTGATGTCACTGACGTACCTGACCAGGGAGAAAAAGTTAGCCACATAACTTATTTTTTACCATTTCCTGAAGACTAGTGGTATGAGCTGTTGAGATGGTCCCTTCCTGCTATGACCTTTCCATGAGCATCAGATTCCTTTACTGTGTGGCCATTAGCCTAATGATAGTGGGTGAGTCCTAAGCTTCGGGAAATCCTTATACTGGATTTGTCTCTAAGTTGGTTCTAACTGGATTCTACCTCAGGGATTCTGTCTTCTTTTTTCTTTCAGCTACGAGAGTCACCCAGATCCTCAGCCACCTGGTCGCAGAGAAGGGATGGAATGTGACACTGAGATGTGAACCCATTTCTTCACATGCTGTCCTGTTGTGGTACCGTCAGAACCAAGAGCAAGGCCTGGAGCTTCTGTATTACTTCCAGGACAATGCAGAAATGGAAAAGTCAGTGTTCTCATTCATGAAGAGATACTCAGCTAAATGGCCCAAAGAATCATTCTCCAGCCTGGAAATTCAGTCTCTAGAGCTAGGGGACTCAGCCCTGCTCCTCTGTGCCAGCAGTCTATCCACAGTGCTACAGAGTCATCTGATCTCTGTGCAAAGACCATCATAGTTCTGGCTGTTTCTCCAAATTCCTAACGGTCCTACCACAAACCCTCAACTCCTCTCTCCTTAGACGAAGATGTGTGGTTTCAGCTGCAGATGCATCCTTTGAATGAGGCAGCTAGTCATTAACTCTTAAAGTTCCAAGTGGGAAAATGTTAGATGACAATGACTCCTATTCTTGGAATGGCTCAGACAGCTCAGTGTACATGATAATAGCCAGTTATTATTCAGCACTTTGCAATTTGAAAAGTACTTTACCTAGACTGTCTCATTTGATTCTTATAACAACCCTAAGAGATAAGAACTATTATCATCTTTATTTTACAGAGGAGGAAACTGAGACTGAGAGGAGTTTAAAGAGGGTTAGACTACTAGTAAGCATCTGAGGTAGATTTGGGACTCAGACTTTATGGACTCCATGTCCTTTCCACTGAAGCACCTAATAGTGGTATGCAAAGATCTGAGGGAGGGAGAAATAAGTCTGTTCCTAAAGTGGAACTGCAAAGTATTCATTAATTTCCTATAATATTATTCATCAATCTCCTCCGGCATTTACAATGCAATTAAAATTGAAAATTCAATTTTAAAAATCATATCATAAATGCATACTATGTGCCAAGTATTGTGCTTATGTTAGAGGAAAAGTCACAGTCTTTATCCCCAAAAAACTTATAATCTAATAGTGGAAGGTATGGAGGGTAAAAATATGTGCAAAATAATATGTACTATACAAGGCAGTTTATGATAAATGCAAAGAAGAGGTCCTCAGTGTTTTGAACAATTTGATAGGAGATAGATCACTTTCAGGGGCAGCTAGGTAGCACAGCGGATAGAGTGCAGGGCCTGAAATCAGGAGGACTCATCTTCCTAAGTTCAAATCTGGCATCAGACACTTACTAGGAATGTGACCTTGGGCAATTCACTTAATCGTTTGTCTCAGTTTCCTCATTTGTAAAATGAGCTGGAGAAGGGAATGGCAAACCACTCCAGTATTTCTGCCAAGAAACCCCCAAATGAGGTCACTAAGAGTCAAATATGACTGAAACACAACCAAACAAGATTTCTTTCATCTGTGAAAATAAGAGAAAACTTCATAGGGCAGGAGGGGTGATGGGGGGTGGTCTGAGCTGAGCCTTAAAGGTAAAGAATTTCAACAAGTAGAGATGCACATTAGAGTCTCTTTCAGGCATGAGAGAAGATTTGTGCAAATGCAGAAAGGCAGCCTCCAGTAACAGCCAGTACTTCTATTTTGCTAAAACACGACACGTACGAAAGGGATTCATTTTAAAAAAATGAGGAGTAATCTGATTTTTGAAGACCTTGAATGTTACAATATCACAAGACAATTTTGTAGACAAGATGATGGGGGCCTGAAGGGTGGAAAGGACTTGACCACACAGTCACACAGAATGTAAGATGCAGAGCTAAGATTCAAACCTAGGTCTTCATCTCCAGTTGCAGAGCCTTTTCAGCCATGCCATGCTGTTAAAAGATAGTTTTTATTCTTTTAGGCCACAGAGATGGTAGCTACAGAATGGGGCCATGTGTTCTACATTAAGAGATACCATACAGATTTTCGATAGCTCTAGCCTGAGTGGTCAAACCAAATAATTTATAGTGAAAAATGGGAAATGAACAAAGGGAAAAAAAACTTTTTCCAACAAAAGTTTTGAATTGATATAAGACAATTGCCACAACGAACAGGTCAAAGGAATCCAGAAATAGCCTCATTCTGAAAATGGTGATGATAATAAGCATTTATATATGCTTTAAAGTTTATAAATCACTTTACAAATAATATTATTTTCTTCACAACAAAATAGGTTCTATCATTATCCCCTTTTTACATATGAGGAAACTGAAGCAAAGAGAGAGTGAGTAGTTTGCCCAGGGTCACACAGCTAGTGAAAATCTGAGCATGATTGTGACCTCAGATCTTCCTGATTCTAGGTCAAGCACTCTCTATACTACTTCACCTAACTGCCTAACACCAATACAGTCTTTGCCAAATTAGTTCAGAATACAAACTTATTTGCAGAATGTTATGAAGGAAGATAGTGGAAAAGTGTTGTTGTTCAGATGTGTTTGACTCTTTGTGACCCCATTTGGGGTTTTCTTGGCAAAGATGCTGGAGCAGTTTGCCATTTCCTTCTCCAGCTCATTTTACAGGTGAGGAAACTGTGGCAAACAGGAGTAAGTGACTTACCCAGGGTCACACAGCTAGTAAGTGTCTGAGGCTGGAGCTGAGTCTTCTTGGCTCTAGACCCAGTTCTCTATGTATTGTGTCATCTAACTGCCATAGTAAAGTACAAAACTATTATAACAAGGAAGTACAGGAGAAAATTGCTTGTAAGATGTGATATTATAATAGATGATCCATTAAATGTTTGATGTAACAAGAGCAAGAGATAGCACATAGACACTGTAATGGACCAGAATTGAAAAGGCCAGTCTGGTGGCTCACTATTACAATTGCAATAGAATGAGGCATTCACAGTCTTCATACAAGCATGGCAGAGGAAGGGCATTCATAGCAGTGAAAGGATATTTGTGAGGAACATAGATGATTCTGCTTAGCAGAGTTCTTCTGTCCTGTTCATGCTGTTAGTATGGGGGTCTGAACCCTGTGGGAAGGGCTCCAGCCCCTCATATCCTGACTTTTTTTGTATCTCCTCGGTCATGAAGCTAAATTAAGTAAATTAAATCTTAAGTATAGTTTAAATACCTTTTTTAGAAGGTCTTGAGATATTGGCCCAACACAGCAGGCCTTGAGATATTGTTCCAACATAGCAACCCAAGTGCTATCACATCACATCATATAATATCATGTCATGTCATACAATACCATGCTATATCATGTTATGTTATGTCATATCATGTCATATCATGCCATACAATATAATAGTGAATGACTGTGGAATGCTAAATACCTAGCTGGAAGGCTCTAGCCCAATTAATGGTTACTTTGTAAAGGATTTATGGCATAAAATGGTCAAGAAACACACAAAATAAAAAGGTAAATTTGGATTTCCATCTGTACTACTAGGGCAGAATACCGACGTTTATGAGACTAGATTCAGTGATGTATTGAAGTTGTTTGATAAACATAATATCCCAGCAAAGGGGGCTCAGTATTCTTTCTCATTCAAGACATAATAGACTGTTGAATTGCCTTTCCACACTAAAAAAATTCCTGTTTAAAGAAGTCATTATCTATAATTATAGCACTCTTGCAATGGACAACATGGGATCAGGGAAAAGCCCAAGGGTGGTGAAGCAAAGATAGATTATCAGGTGAACTTAATCCACGAAAATTATTTAGAAATGCAACAGTCTGAAATGCCAAGAAGCCCAGAGCTAAAAGTGAAAGTAGGTTAGAGAAAGTGATTTGTATTACAAAATAACAATACAGTAATACTTACACTAATAAAGAAATGTATTCCATAGACACAGTGTCAGAAATGATGTCTTGAGGCTTTGTTACAGGATATTTGATAAAGGGGAATTATGTTATAAAATTAAATCACTAAATGTTAACAATGTTAGTAATTTGTACCCAGGCAGTAAAGAAGATACCTTTTAGTCTATCAGGCCACAAATATGATATCTGCACCATAATATAATTTCTAATTCTAGTCTGATTGGTTCAAACAAATAATTTACATTGAAAAATGGGAAGGGGCCAAATAAAAAGATGACAGGGTGCCCAGTTCAGATGTCAACAAGGTTGAAGAGGTCAGAAAGGGAAAAGACAATAACTGAAATGTAAAAGGGAAGCCTTTTCATCCGTAAAGGAAGAATTCTAGATCTTAGAACGTATCTGAGGCTTGAATAAGTCATTCACATAAGAAAAAGCCAGAACCAACCCTGAACTTGCCTTACTCAGGCTGCCTCCACACTTTTATCCCGAGATATTCATTTGCACAAGGCACCAGTGGAAATCTGGGGAATCTCCATGAATAATAATAGTTTCCCTGACTGATGTAAACTGACTTCTTTCTGAATAAGAAAAAAAAATTATCAAAGAGGAGAGGCTGTACTCCTCCCACCTCTTTCTTGGAGATCATGTATCTCAAAGTCAAGGCTTTTAGTAAGTCAAAGAGGAGAGGTCTGTGCCAAGGATGAGAACCACAGCCATATAGCCCTCCAGTTGAACAGAATACTCTAACACTAGCTAGGATGGAGGCTAGTATTGGCAAAGATGATAAATGTTTAGCTAGTTATTTAGCAACACATTATGCAAGCTGTGACTTGGACAATCTGCTTACGTCTCTACCTTATTGGTGACTGATTCTCTTGGACCATTGTTTAGGAAAGCCACAGCTACCATGCTTTACTTCACTCCTACACTCTAGTCATCTCCTCCTAACCTACCACCTTATCACTCCTCTTCCCCATACTCATCCCTTTCTAATTTCGGGAACCTTAAACCATGATCAAATTAACTGTTCAATTATTCTTGGATGTCAATCTATCTCTCATTCACCCCTCTAACTTTTTAGACCAAAATGCTCCTCCCTGACTATCACTCATTCATAATGTTATCGGCTTTTGATGTTCATCATCATCATCATCATCAATCATCATCATCATCTTTTTCCTTGAAGGCAGGAACTTTGCTTTCAAATTTGTATCTCCATTACTCCACACTCTATGAGAACAGTTCATCCTGTTACTGAAATTCAGGAAGTCAATGGTCCTTTCTTTTTTTCTCTCAGTCACATTTTCCCACCCTCCAATCTCCTAACATGTTGAGATTTATTCATATTTCTTCATATTCTTTTTTTTTTGTACTCCTTGAAACATTTCTTCCATTATTTTAGGAAACACTCTAATATTTTATTTCCCCTGGCAATCTAAATGGAAAATTTGTGGGTCTCTGTTCCTGTTATTTTCTCCTGTAGGATGGAGACAAGAAATACTCTGTGCATTCTTGAGTGTTATTTGGTACTAGAAGAAATACAACTTGTAACATATGATATGATATATATATGACAATATAATACTAATTTTAATATTAAATTAATTAATTCTTAATTTTCTAACAGTGACAAGTATCCCTTGCGGGGATTTGTTTACTTAGAAATAATACTAGTTATAACAAATCATTCCAATGCTTAGAATGACTTTCCAAGGAGTTTTTAGTCATTGGTTTTAAGGTCTCATTTAATTTTCCCACTGGTCCCAGTTCATTATGGCTAATAAGCAAAAGTTTTTTATTTGTTTAATGATATTATAATCTGATACATTCTTATCCTTTCTTTAAGGATCCATAAGAGAAATCTCAGACCAATGAAAATATCTCTAGTAGAGCTTTGGCCAGTACTTGAGCTTTGATTGAAGAGAATCTCACTCTGATTAGGTAGTCCATAACTTAAAGAAATCACAACATTATGGATTTATAGCTTAGGGTTTTAGAGACCATTTAGTCACTGCCCCTCCCTTTTTTTTTCTAGACAATTTACTAAGGCCCATAAGGACCGAGAGACTTGCTTGAGATCACACAGATAATAAGTATCTGAGGTTAGATTTGAACTCAGAAAGATAAGCATTCCTGGTTATAAGTCCAGTGCTCTATTCACTGTGCCACCTGGCTGCCAATAAAGCTGTGATGTGGCTGTAGTAAGATACACCTGCTTTCTCACCCTCCAAATTATTTTGAAAAATTTATAATTATCTGTGAGTGACTGAATCATCCCACGACAGGAAAGCTTCATAGCACTCTTTTTCACGTCTTATAGATTCTTGCTAATTGCATCTTTGTTTGGGAAATGATGCTTAGTGTGGTGCCTTACAAGTGATGGATATTCAATAAATGCTAAATGAATGAATAAATGTTGAGTGAATTAATAAATTGCTAATTATTACAGTAACCCTCACAGTTACTTCTAACCCACCTATTAATATTTCATGTGTCTCCTCCATGCCATTGACCCATCTTTGAGCCAACCTTTAGCCATGTATTCCTTTTTCCCGCCTGACTCCACTTGGCCTGATGCAAATTTTGGCCTTTCCATTTTCCCATTTAAACAGGGCAGCCTGGGTTTACTTCCAGCTACTGATTCCAGCTGGTTCTACTCTTCTCTTCCCCTTGACCTGGAGCAGAAATTAGGCTCTGATGCTAGTGGTCTTTTTTCCACCTGCCCAAAATGGTTTCTAAATACAGCTTGTGAATAACTTCTTAAGCCCTCTAAGGGCAAAGCTATCGAAAAGAAAGGTCATTTTAGATTGTATGTGTGTGTGTGTGTGTCTGTGTGTGTGTGTGTCTGTGTGTGTGTGTGTGTGTGTGTGTGTGTGTGAGAGAGAGAGAGAGAGAGGAGAGAGAGAGAGAGAGAGAGAGAGAGTGAGTGTGAACTACAAAGGATGGTTTGACAGAGACCTTTGAAGGAAATGACATTTTGCCAAATTAGGAGGAAAAGGAAGTCTACATGATAGAAATAGTAATTTCTGTGATGAAGAAAATATCACTAACAAAGGCAGGTCAAATGTATTTGGAAGGACTTTTTGGTCAAGATCTAAGATTTAATTGGTATAGGGAATGGCCAGCGAGGAAACTCACCTCTACCAATGCAGCTTAGCAACTATTCTGTGGTTTATAGTCTTAGTAATTGCTTGGGAGCACTAAATCAGGTGATTTGGCCAGGGTCACACAGCCAGTATGTGTCAGAGGCTAGACAAAGTTGGGTATTCCTGACTCCAAGAGGGATGCCTCTTTTGGAAGATTACATTGTAAAGTTATGTACAATTCTCTTTTTTTTTTTTTGGCATTTACAAAATGTTTTCTTCACAACAATTCTGTGAAATAGGTAATACTGGTATTATCTTTATTTCATAGCGGAGGTAATGTTTGGAGATAGTTAAACGGCTTGCTTAGGGCCACATAGCTAGTGTTGAGAGGAAATTCACACCCAGGGTTCTGCTCATTCTGAGTCCAGCCCTTTCCATGAAATGATGCGTTCTCTTATGTAAGTTCAGTTAAGGGAACATTAACAGAAAAACAATTTACTGCCAGTGAGAAAAACTAAGACGGAGCAACTCTCTCATCCTGTCAGTGTGATGACAATTTTGTTGGAGTCAGAGATTGATGGGCATATTTTCTGAGAGATTGAGGTCAGAGACTGTTTCTATCTTTGTGTCCAAAGCATCTAGTTCAATTCCTCAAATATAGAAGTTTAATAAATACTTGCTGAACTCAACCAAATTGAATTGGAGGACACCTCAGAAGGAAATGGATTATCATTATTGTAAATCTTATAATTTTTCTTGAATTTTGTTGTTCATTTTTGTTTTAGTCCCATCTAACTCTTTGTGACCCCATTGAGGGTTTTCTTGGCAAAGATCCTAGAGTGGTTTGCCATGTCCTTCTCTAGCTCATTTTACAGATGAGGAAACTAAGGCAAAGAGGTTTAAATGACTTGCCCGGGGTCACACAGTTAGTAAGTGTCTGAGGCCAGACTTGAACTCAGGAAGAAGAATCTTCCTGACTCCAGGCTTGGCACCCTATCCACTGTACCACCCAGCTGCCCCAGCACCACCTAGTCAGTTGAATATATTTACTTTTGTTGTTTGTTCCTAATGAACAGTTTGCCCTTAGTTTTAAAACTTACTATACTCCCAGTCTTTATTTGCATTAACTCTGAATCCTAGCTGTACAATCCTGACATGATCAGATTCTATATCATCATGCCTGTTGGCATCCAGAAGTAGCCAAGCCTTAGGGCAATGGTAGGACTCTTAGCTAGGATTTTCAATAACCGTTATAAGGATTACCTCAGAAGTTCAGATACAATAATAGATTCTAGCAACATCATGCTGTGGAACAACTAGTCTACTTGTAGGCTCCAGCTGCTATCCCAGTCTGGGGAAATTGCTGACTGGGAAAAATCAATGTTTTTCCTTTTCCCACCCTTCTCTTTTAATTATGTCAGCTGGCAACAGAGAAACCCTTCAAAGCAGGCAAAAAGAAGGCCCATAGCAATAAAGCACATACTACATATTTTTATTTTTATAAACTATTAGTCTACTAGAAATGTGATTAAAAGAAACTATCATTTTAACGAGAG